AGTTGAAGTGACAAGTCACCACAAGAGTGGGATGCTTCTGGCCTCCTGTCCTTCCGCCATTGGTTTGAATCCCACTTACGATGTGGGTTTTTTGGGGGGTTCTGTTATCTCCAGTCATCCATCATCGTTCCCCTCATTTCGAACTGTCTGAACGTGACGCAGTAATACAGGCCGACACCCACTTTCGGAAAGTTTTGTGGCTGGCTTATAATAGGAGGACCGGCTAATGCCTGACCAGTAAGCGATACAGTTATGGTGATTTCGCAGACATACTTGTAGTGACCTCACTCTAACCATCGTGTGCTTTGCTAAATCACCCGACCCGGCTGTACAGTTTTCTTAGAGTCTTGCGTCATGTTTCCTACTCATGATATTGATGCAAAGTTTGGCTGTTTCGGGTGTAAAATCAAGTTACTTTAAGTAAATGCAGTAAGACACTACGGCACTCGAAACTTGTGATAATTACGCTTTTGCGTTTTTCCAGAAGACCCTACTGAATATTATATTCCCATCCTTTGTATGCATGAAGCATCTCGGCTCCGATTGGACCGATATTAAGCTAGATGTCATCAGAAGATTGCGTATAATGTTCGCCCATACCAAGGCGAGTTTACTTACCAAAATGGTTGCTCTTTAAACCTTTTCTGTTTGTCTTTATTGTCGCCTTGTGTACTGATACATATTACAACATAGGCGATCGTTAATTTACTTTTCATAACATGACGTTTATATTGTGACGTGTATACCCATTGCGACTCGGTAAACACGTTCCCGCGGTAAGCACGCTTCAACAATAGAGAGGCTGTTTTCTATGTGGTCCGCGCCACGACCGTTCAGTGATTCAGTAAACACACCTGGAACAATACGGGACAATAGCAGACGGTGTTTATCGTGGGGTCCGCGCAAAGTTGTTATAAAGAAGAATTCAGTTGAGCCGAATAGAATAGAGTCGGGTTTCGAGACGCCAGCCTACCGGGATATGCGCTTGGGAGTAGAGGAATTGATTTGAGTCGAGTCTTCGGAATTGGCAGTTGCAGGATAATGACAAGAAAGGAATTAAACTATGAAAAGAATACATCATGTGTTATTTGAAGTTACAGTGACGCTGTGATAAATCCGTTGCCAGGATACGGCTAGCGGAGATGGAGAACCCTAGTGTGTGTGTAACGGTGAACTGTGAAGTGTGTAGATCAGCGATAGCCCTCTATTGCCTCTAGTCTGTAAGGTGTCAGTAAATCAAATCGTCCAATCCAAAAACCCCGTCTGTAGTCACTAATACAAATGACAATATTCCTCTGTTTAGCTGCTTGCCTCGCAGTATATTTGCTTGCTTACTGTGCACATATTATCGCCATCTGATGCGGCATGATGTCTAGTGGAAACGACCGGTTTTATCTGGTAGATTACGTAAGTATGTATAAGTTTCATGTTGCGTGTGACTCTTTTATCCGTGTAATTGACAATGTTCGAAGCAAAGCATGTCGGGAAAATAGGCTGTATTGAGTCACATGAGCTGTTGA